ATGACAAGACCTCCCTCTCAGCCTCACTGAGGTGGTCCAAAGGAAAGCAGATCAATACATTTGGCACCAGCTTGGCTGCTGGAGCTGCTGGAAGGAGGTGTACAAGGCGCCATCCAACTGCCTTAGGGACTGCACTCTGGATTTGTGCTGCTTTATTCCTTAGGTTTTTGTTCTCCCAAAGACTTCCTGCAAGGCAGTGGAGGTTTAGGATCAGAGTTTTCCTTCTTACTTCCCTCTACAGCACATGCCGAAACTGCCTTCTTGACCTTTGGACCCACTATTAGTCTCATCTGCTCAATCCAACAGAGCCTGTCTTTGCATGCCGGGGAAATCCCTAACTCACTGAGGGTTTGAGACCTCTTGGCTACCCGGTTTAGCTGGCCAGTCGAAGCCGTTTCCTGGGGTGTGGCCGCTATCACATACTGACTGATTCTAGGAGCCACAGGTGAGACCTGCATGCAGGGTAGGGACCAAAACTACCCCAGAAGGAGCACAACATGTTCTCCACCAAACACATCATGGAATTTGAAAGTTGAAAAATTCAACATGCCCTACTGGCTTATGGCAGACTGAGGATGGTGAGGCAAACCCCCACTTGCCATACCATACCAGCTTCTATTTGGAAACATGGCGTGATTTTGCAGGCAAACCCATAGGTGGGTTCAGATGAGAGGGAAGTGCTATAGTGACCAATATGAGCCAACAACATCAGATCATGACCCAATTTCACTCAAAGAACTTTGGACGCTATCCATCTGCTGGAGGCATAATCTAAAATTCCATTTTCTTTTCCAGGTGGCTATCAATAATAAAGCATTGTCCCTTTTTCTCAGTTTTATGATGACTAGCAAAACGGCTATTGTTATGGCAGGTGGTAATGTGTGTAGACAGGCTGCATGTATATTTCAGTATCCCCCCCCCTTTCCCTCCGAGAAGGAGGTGATACAACTCTGAGGACTCTGCAAACAGAGAGATGTCATGGACACACACTGCATGTGGTTCCTGTTCGTGGAGAGGCTGAAACACTCATCGGTGTGTAGGTTTGTGTTCCTATGGAAACTCTGCTCTCCATAGGAGTGAATGGCAGGCAGAGCCAGCTCCAGGTCTGATGGTGTCTTTTGCAAAATGATCTTTTCCTACAGTGGGACACACACACACTCCACTCCAGTCTTACCTGGTGGCAGACAGCAGCAGCAGTGCTCTGATCAATCCCAGGCACGGTCTGCCATTTTAATTTCCCAGAATGCCACCCAACATAGTATAACTCCAGGTCATTAATATTATATTTGTCTTTTGGCTTTGTAGGCAGAGTTCCTGATATGGTTAAGTGAATACACTCTGTACGCTGCAGAGAAACAGGGTTTCTCACACTTGGTTCTCCCATCATCCCAAAGTAGCAGAACCAGTGGTCACAGATAATGGGAACTGTAGTCCATGTTTGGGAAACCCTGCTCTAGAACCACTAGCCCAGGAAGAGGGATGCAAAGGTTTAAAATACAGTGGTACCTCGGGTTAAGTACTTAATTCGTTCCAGAGGTCCGTTCTTAACCTGAAACTGTTCTTAACCTGAAGCACCACTTTAGCTAATGGGGCCTCCCGCTGCTGCCGCGCTGCCGAAGCACGATTTCTGTTCTCATCCTGAAGCAAAGTTCTTAACCCAAGGTAATATTTCTGGGTTGGCGGAGTCTGTAACCTGAAGCGTATGTAAGCTGAAGCGTATGTAACCCGAGGTACCACTGTAAACACAAGAAATACATGTATGTGAAGTCTTCGCTGCAGCAGTGGAAAACTTGTGGCCCTCCAGCACTTGTTGCACCATACAACTCCATCATGCCTGACCATTGGTCATGCTGGCTGGGGTTGATTCTGCAGTATAAGGAGGGCAATTGGTTGGGAAAAGGCTGGTCCAATCAGACTAAAGCACTCCCTATTCCCTTTGATTTCAAGGACAGCCAGTGAAGCACAAGTCCATGTTATTTTATTATTCTCTGTTGCTTTACCATACACATTTCAAAAGCCATTTGCCAGATTAAGTTTTTCATTCTCTCCCATGGAAATCAATGGAAGCTACAACTGCCTAGCATTTCCCACCCACTGGATGAATCTTAAAATCTTCTTCCACGCCACCCTTCCATATCCTGCTAGAGAAATAAAAATCACAGTGCAAACCCCATTGGATATATAGATTAGGTTTGCATGTAGCAACACACATGGCTCGCCGCTGACTGTCCCACTGGAAAAACAAAATAAAACAAAATAAAAGAGACTTTTTGCCTCTTGCAATCATCAGTCAAGAGTTACTGACAGGAGCAGAACACAGAGTTATAGCTTGCTTGGTCTGGAACATGCTTTCTTCAGAAGGACATTTGAGGAAGGAAGCCACAGAACTTGGGGAAAGGAAACCAGACTGGGCATTAGGGTTTGTTTTCTTTTTAAAATGGAGAGTGCAGGGGTATATTTAAAAAACCATTAAGCTATAACTTCAAAACCAACAGGCAGGCTATTGAAAATAAAGGCAGACACGCTTCCCTGAGTTATGGTGGAAACAGGCTAAGTATAGATCTGCTAATTTAATACAAGACCATGGCTGGGCTCTCATGATGGGTGTTTTTTAAAACAAAAAACAGTCAAGGAAACATTCTGTGGCTGGGTCACTAAGTTGAGTCAAGCGACATGTCTGACTTTTCAACTGGGGTGTCAATGTGATCTGGATTGTAGGACATTTCTCTCTCTCTCTCTCTCTCTCTTCCAATATAATACAAATATTAGGGGTTGGATCTAGTATTAGTCCTACTCAGAGCCCAGCAAGCCCCCTGTAATTAATGGCCACAGCTTAGTTAATTCTGTTGAAATAGACAGGGTCTATTTGAAGTATAGCTTAGTTCAAGACAGTCGTATATCTGCACCATTTAATGCTTCTAGAATATTCAGAATATATAGGAACTTCCTTCTCTAGTCTTCATCATGAAAATATTTTGTGTTAGAAAGATGAATTGCTGTTAGTTAGTTAGGCATGGTTTGCACACTTAAAAAATGAAAGCCGTTTAACCACCCATCCAAAGCCCTGCTGGGCTCTTGCCAGCAGGATGGAAATGAGGCTGGAGGAACACTTTTGCACTCCTGTGTTCATTTCATGGGTTTTGTTTTTTTCCTGTTAACAGTTTCCCTCCCATTCAGGGCAATGGGATGGGAATTACTGGGGGAGGCTAAGCATAAATTGCTTGCCAGTCTGGGGGCTTGTTGGAAGACCAGGGTGGTTTATTGATCCTCTGCTGCTGCACCCCTAAAAAAACACCCAGCCAATTCTTGACCCTCTCCTGGTAGAAGAGAAGAAGAGTTTGGATTTCATACCCCGCTTTATCACTACTCTAAGGAGTCTCAAAGCGGCTAATAATCTCCTTTTGCCCCCAGTCTTTCCCAACATCAGGGTCTTTTCCAGGGAGTTTCTCATGAGGTGGCCAAAGTATTGGAGCCTCAGCTTCAGGATCCGTCCTTCCAGTGAGCACTCAGAGCTGATTTCCTTCAGAATGGATAGGTCTGATCTTCTTGCAGTCCATGGGACTCTCAAGAGTGTCCTCCAGCACCATAATTCAAAAGCATCAATTCTTTGGCGATCAGCCTTCTTTATGATCCAGGTCTCACTTCCATACATCACTACTGGGAAAACCATAGCTTTAACTATACGGACCTTTGTTGGCAAGGTGATGTCTCTGCTTTTAAGATGCCTTTATCTGCTTTTTAAGATAGTTTCTCCTATAACTGAGTTCTATTGCTGATGGATGTAACTCAGCTAGATCCAATTTTGTTATCCTTTTTTGCTTTTTGCTTTTTTTAAAAAAAGATTGCACTTTGACCCTAGCTGGGTTGACATCTCTCACCTGTTGCTTCCTAGGCTTCCAGCAATTACTCCCTCCAGATGAAATACACTCTGCGGGCCATGGAGACACTAATGCGGAAAAAGCCTTGCTTCTACATAGCAATTTATGAACATGTGAATTTATTGGGTGATGAAATTTATAGCCAAAGCTATTAAAAAGTGAACTTCAAAGCTCTGTAGAGAGAGGGTTTAAATCTTCAGATCAGCAACAGAATCTCTGCTCAGGCTTCGGGTTCCAGCAAATGACACGGGAAAGAATGAACCATTGGAAGACCAGACGTTTCCAACTTTCTCGATAGCAACCAAACAGATATTGGGGGAGAAGGCAGAAGAAGAGGAATTGTTTCTTAATGGGAAAAGAAAAGAAGTGGGTGTGGGTGTGTGTTTGTGCAAAGCTGAACCTGAAAAGCGTTCAATGGGATTTTATTTAAAGGACCCAGACAGTGGGCAGGATTGCAGCCAAAAAGCATAAATTGTGACTGGAACAAGATGATTTGGTAACAGTAACGACCAGTGATAGGAAATCTTAAAAAAAAAAAAAAAAGCTCTGCTCAGAATTATGTTGTGAGGTGGAGGGGACAGAATTGGTATATTTATGACCTTGGGCGGCCAATTCATCTGGGAAAGTCTCTATAAAGACTTCCTAGTGATCATCTACAAGCACCATGACTTGTTAATGCTTATTAGCTGTGACTGCTAGATTTATGCCCAGTTCCCTTTGCTGGTTGTTAAAAACTATGACCAGGAGAAGTTGAATTCAGGCCGTAGCTCAGAGCTCATTTCAAAGACAGAATCCCTCCTCATTTCCAATGGAATGCCATCTTTAAAAAAGCAAAACAAAACAACCAATGTGTGTGTTGTTGTTTTCAAATGGATGAGATCCTCTGCTCCTGGCTGAGATCAACTCCAAGGTTGTAAATTGTTTTGATGCCCATGGTAGAAAATCCAGATTGCACTCCGAAGAAACACACACACACACACACACACACACACACACACACACATTACCATGGGGCACAATCCACCAGGATATTCTCCCCATACAAGCCCCACTGTTCTTGTGGAACACCCATTCATTTCAATAGGATCTGCACAGAAAAACTTGCACAGATTAACAGAAGTGTCCTAGCTCACTGGTACAACATCTGCTTTGCATGCAGAAGGTCACAGTTTCAATTCCTGGCTGGGGAAAGCCCCTGTTGCCTTGCTGTCCCTGAACTCTTAAAGCTACAAGCACATCCATGCCTAGACCCAGCAGCTCGCTCCCTTTCTACCTTCCCCAACACTGTCCCTTTCAATCAAATTCTAACTTCTGCAAACCCCTCCTTCAAGCAGTAAATTCCAACTAGAGCACACAAGCATACAGCAAAGCTTTATCAGTTGAAAGCTGTTGCCCAATTGAAATAAATTTCAATTGATTGATTATATGCATTTTAGTGAATTAATCAATTCATTAATCAGTTAAGTCTGCATAGATTTTCATCTGCAGAAAACAATCGTTCCAAGAAAAATAATAATTTGTTTTTAGATTGGACACACACATATCACATCATCCTCAAATACACTTTCCCATTTGCTCACACTCAGGAGAGGATGATTCTTTTAAGACAGTCGTTATCATCTGCATTTTGTACAAATATTTGTACTGAACATAATTTTAAAATAATAACAATGTGCATATCTATTAATTTGGGGAACTCATTCAGTCAATCAAAATGTCTTTCAACCAATGAATTTGACAAATTAATCAGGGAAACATTCCAGCTCCATGTGCATTGGGCTTGCATAGTTTTGGCTGTAGTGACCCCTGACTTCACACTTGCTACTGGATAAGCTGCTGTGATGTCATAGAATGCTCATGAAGGCTATAAGGGCAAAGCAAATGCACATCATGATTTGAAATAGACAGCCTTATTTTGGCATAAAGGTCCATATAGTTAAAGCTATGGTTTTCCCAGTAGTGATGTATGGAAGTGAGAGCTGGACCATAAAGAAGGCTGATCGCTGAAGAATTGATGCTTTTGAATTATGGTTCTGGAGGAGACTCTTGAGAGTCCCATGGACTGCAAGAAGATCAAACCTATCCATTCTGAAGGAAATGAGCCCTGAGTGCTCACTGGAAGGACAGATCCTGAAGCTGAGGCTCCAATACTTTGGTCACATCATGAGAAGAGAAAACCCCCTGGAAAAGACCCTGATGTTGGGAAAGATGGAGGGCACAAGGAGAAGGGGACAACAGAGGACGAGATGGTTGGACAGTGTTCTCGAAGCTACCAGCATGAGTTAGACCAAACTGCGGGAGGAGGGCCTGGCGTGCTCTGGTCCATAGGGTCACGAAGAGTCAGACACAACTAAACCACTAAACAACAACAACAACAAGCCCCTTCCTCTCCAGGGCATCATTTCCACACATTTTTGTATCTAAACTTTAGAGTCTTTCATGAGTATGAAGGTGAAACTCCTCTATTTGAGGAGCCTCCCCATGCAATCTAGAACCCTGCAGCCTAAAGGGTGGGGAAAGGGCCACTCTCCATTCACAGCTCTTTCTTTACCTTCTGTCCTCTTCTCCAGATGCCTGGTGCTGTCACTGCCAATCCTGCCAATGGTGGTTCATGTTGAGTGGAGGCTGTGGAAGCTCAGGCTCAATGACCTGAGTCTGCACTTAAATGGTTGTTGTAAAGTGTAATGCACCAAGGTACTTGATTTGGGGTCACCAAAGAGGCAGTGTCTGGGGCTGGTGTCAGGAGCAACTCACACGGCATCAGCGAAGTTAGCTCTTTAGTCAACACAGGTGGCCAGGCCTAGTGACCACAGCAACTATTTCCAATAGATCTTGCCCCAATGAGGCAGTTGTGAGTACTAAAGGTCCTAAGCAATCTGAGACTTTGTCACCTTGTCTGTATTTTCTCTGCCCTCTCCATACCCTTTGTGGTTCTGGGAAACTAGGGAATAGGGGAGCTGGTTGCAGCAGGAGGGGGAGACCCCCCTGGCTTCTTCACCAGCCTGCCTGATCTCCGCCTCTTGGGCCTCCTCCTCTTCAGCATTAGCTTCTGCTCTGATTCTGGACTGCTCTCTGCCACAGACTCTCCCTGCTCACTAAACCCCGTTGCCTCTTCTGCTTCCAACACCTGCTCTTCCCATTCTGCTCCCTCTTTTCCCTCTGACCACTCATCATCATCCTATCACCCTGGCTCTGAGCCTTCTTCCCCTGGGGGGTTCCCCAGCTGGTGCCTCCCACCACTCCTCTACAGCCAGCCAATCTGAGATAGGCAGCTTGATCAGGCTAATTTATTTTGAGCACACAACTTCACTTTATGCAGAACTTAAGATTTGTATGTGTGTGTAGATATAGATATAGATATAGATATAGATATAGATATAGATATAGATATAGATATAGATATAGATATAGATACAGATATAGATAGATATATAGATGACACACACAACCTTATGTATTCACCTGGAAACCGGGAATGACTGATAATCAGAGAACCTCTGTCCCCTAAATAAAGGGAAGTTGCACAGCCTTCTACCTTCCTTTCATTGTTTGATCCTTCTCTCTTCTGTCTTCCCTTTGTTCAGCAAGGAGAGGGGAGCTCTGGTGATTTTTATGAATGTCGTGCTGCAGGAGCAGCTAGTGAAGCATTTCGAAATATAATTAGAAATCTAAATATGACACCGCTGTTACAGTCGGAGACCTCACCCCATAAAACACTGGGACACAGTGATTTGTGCCAGCTGGCATGGGTGTCATGTCCCATTATATATATATATATATATGCACACACACACACACACACACACACACACACACAGGCAAACATACATCCTGACTTATGCAAGAGCATGATTGCTTAAAGATTGCCCATGTGTTTTCAATTACCTCCTATTAATGTATTTACTCTTTGTATCTTTTCATCAAACTAAGGGGCTGCTTTATTTATTTATTTCACTTGTTTGTGAGCTGGCGCCGCCGCCACTGCTGCTTCGCTAGGGATGGCTCGAGTTTAGCAAATGGCACATATTTCAATATTAAAGCCGCTTGCGATCATCACAAGCATGAAGGATGCCTCAAATAAACTCTTGCTCCACACGCAGCCATTCCTGTCTGCACCCGGGCAGTATATCTCCTGTATTTTAATTAAGTGGGTGTTCTCTCTCACTGTGCGTCGTACATTACCGGCGGTCATCTCATATGTCACCGGAGCTCAGCCATTCCTGAGAGGGACTAAATCCAACTAATAAGCAAGTGCCAGGCAGAATATCCTGATGCCCTCTTTCCCCCTCCCCTCAACCCATAAAGTAACTTGATCCAATAACCTGTGGCAACATCAGTTGCATCTGGAAGGATCAGTGGGGTCTGGTGCCCATTGGGGCTGGTAGGGCAGAATTATAAATAATAATAAAAATAATTTATTATTTATATCCTGCCCATCTGGCTGGGTTTCCCCAGCCACTCTGGGCGGCTTCCAACAAAATATTAAAATACAAGAGTACGTCAAACATTAAAAGCTTCCCTAAACAGGGCTGCCTTCAGAGATCTTCTAAAAGTCTAGTAGTTGTTTTCCTTTTTGACATCTGGTGGGAAGGCATTCCACCGGGTGGGTGCCACTACCAAGAAGGCCCTCTGCCTGGTTCCCTGTCACTTGGCTTCTCACAGTGAGGGAACCACCAGAAGGCCCTCGGCGCTGGACCTCAGTGTCCAGGCAGAAGGCAGGTAGCCCAAATAGCAGGTGGAGCCAGATAGCCAATGGCCGGCAGAGGCAACTCATTCTAGTTTTGTCCCCATCTTCCTCCCAGCTGAGTTCTACAAGGGCTGCATTGAGACTAAGGAGGAGGAAGAAGCTGACAGCCAGGGCCACCTCCTGGCTAGGGGCAGACTGAGGTTGGTGGGGTGGCACCCCATTTGCCCCAGTGGACCAGCCTCCATTGATCCACCAGGCATGGCAGAGACAGGGTTCACCCTCTCCTCCAAGTGCATATCTGTGCCATGCAGATATTACAGCGAACAGGAAGCCAAAGTATGCTTGGCATCAGTTGTAGTCAACTAAGTCCTAAATCCTACTCAGATTGACCCACTGAACTGAATGAACCTAAGCTAACCATGCCCATTAATTTCAATAGGTCTACTCTGAAAAGGACTAGTGAAGCATCTCACTCCATATTCCCAACTTGTCCTTTCCACTCTGGTCAAAGGCCCAAGTTGAGGAGGTGGATGGAATTGGGATATGGGAGGTGTGCATAAGCAACTCATTCACCCCTAACATTTTGGTGCAGTGTCCTTGTGTACACATGGCAGAAGGAGAGGGAACCTGCGTCTCTGTTGTGCCCTACAGCAGGGATGGGGAACCTGTGACCCTTCAAATATTCTTGGACAACCAGTTCCCATCATCTCAACCAGAATGGCCAATTGTCAGGGACGATGGAGGTTGCAGTCTTGTAATCTGATGGAGGCCTCTTGTAATCCAATCTCTCCCTTGAACATGGAGACATGGTACACACGTTCAAGACATAATTCTGCATTTGCAAATCAAGATGCCAGCTTGAGCCATTTTCAAAGGGAGGTGGGAAATATATCAAACGCACAGTGGTGCCATATCTCACTTGAGCACAATGAAACCTGCTATGCATGTTTACAACATCATTCTCCATTTTAATTTCAAACACCAGCTTGACTCCTGCACTTGCCTTAGCGAAGCGGGGGGAGGTGGGAGGAGGAGGAGGAAGAGAGATACAAAATGAGTAGCAATGTGACATCTGAACAGTGTGGTTTAAAGGACACAACCCAATGGGAACATCCCCTAGGCTAGCCCTGTTTAAATGAATGGAAACTGCACACAGCAGCATCCATGCACTCTTGCACACTTTCCTGGGGTCTAAGTAGCAGGGAGAAGGCCCATGCATTATGCCCCAACTCATAACAGAAGCCTGAATTATATCGCACCCATCGACTTTTAAAACTGTTCTGAGTCATATATTCTATGAGGAGTGTGTGCAAGCCGAAATATTGGATAAAAGAGTTCCCGTTAGCTCTTATGGTTTCACTCCTAACTCCATCCAGCCGACTAAAATTACAGTAAAGTGAGAAATCTCTGTATTTCCTTTTTGGTGCCCTAGTCATAAGCTGAAAATTAAGATCGAGTCTGAAAAGGGGAGCAATCTGGAGTTCTCTGTATGTATTCACAGCT